TGTCAGGGGGCCTGGGCACCCTCTTCTCCCAGGAAGCTCGAATCCAGCTAATGGTGAGAGGTCCCCTTCCAGCAGACCCCTTCCTGCTCCTGCTTCAGAACTGATTTCCCAAAAGCTGTAAGAGCATCGCTGTAAATTCACACGCTCTCCTGCTCTGCGTGAGGGAGCTGCCCCGTGTGACGGCACTGAGCCCAGCGCAGAGATGGCAGCTGTGAATCTTTTGTCTGGTGGTGACCCCATCGCTCGGTCCTGTGTCACGGAGCCTCTGTTGCTTTAGCTTTTTAACTGCCACCCCCAAGCCTTTCATGTCCCTACCACTTCCTACGGTCTGCGTGCTATGGGGTAATGCATGCTGTGTGCGGTAATGCAGTGTTGTAGCTCCTAGCCGTGTCGGTTCCAGGATATTAGATGATCTAGTGGGTGAGGTTTTATTTTTTATCAGACCAACTTCTGGTGGTGAGAGAGACAAGCTTTCAAGCTACACAGAGTATGTCTACACAATAAAGAAAAACTCGCAGTTGGCCTTTGCCTTTCTCTGCTGTGGGTGTTCATACTTCCCCTCGAATGGTCTCTTAGAATTTGTGCAAACTACTTATGTATTTCATTGTGACACCTCTTTTCTCAGACCTGAAAAATAGCTTTGTGTAGCCGGAAAGCTTGTCTCTTACCAACAGAAGTTGGTTCAGGAAAAGAGATTACCTTACACGCATTGTTATATTTACTTCTAGTATAGTATTCAGCCACTAGATGGCTCTGTGTGCTTTGTAGAGCTCCAGCACCAGGTGGAGTGGATCTCTGGTAAAGGCAAAGCTGGAACTCAAGCTATGTGGAAGCCTGTTTGTGCCTGTACCTAGTAGCTGTTTTCTCTAATAAATGTTTCCTGTTTAAAGAGGACTGTGATTCCATTTATCGTGACGCCATCAGGGGCAGTGACTGAGATTTCAGAGGAATCTGGTTTTTAGCATCACTTTTTAAAAAATGTGTTTCAAGGTAGAGATCCTTCACTTTCCTTTGTGGAACACTGAGAATCTCTCTTGCTCCCTTAGGGTATGTGTACACTACCACCCTAGTTCGAACTAGGGTGGTAATGTAGGCAACCGGAGTTGCAAATGAAGCCCAGGATTTGAATTTCCCGGGCTTTATTTGCATATTGCTGGGCGCCGCCATTTTTAAATGTCCGCTAGTGCGGACTCCGTGCCGCGCGGCTACACGCGGCATGGACTAGGTAGTTCGAATTAGGCTTCCTATTCCGAACTACTGTTACTCCTCGTTCCTAATCCGAACTACCTAGGAAGCCTAATCCGAACTACCTAGTCCGTGCCGCGTGTAGCCGCGTGGCATGGAGTCTGCACTAACGGACATTTAAAAATGGCGGCGCCCGGCAATATGCAAATGAAGCCCGGGAAATTCAAATCCCGGCTTCATTTGCAACTCCGGTTGCCTACATTACCACCCTAGTTCGAACTAGGGTGGTAGTGCAGACATACCCTTAGCTCACTCCAAACTGTACGTACTCCCCATCTGCCCAAAAGGGACTGGATGAGGCTTCATGTGGAGAGCAGTCCTGCTGGTTCTCAAACTGCTGAGGGGTGGGAGTGATCCCTTTTCCCATGGGAGATGCTCAGAGACTTGGGAACCAGAAACCAGAGCAGGGAGCTGAACCCGGCTCTTCAGTCTTGCAGTGCAGATCTTGTCACCAGACAGTCGGGCCAGACTCAAACTGGAAAGTGCTCAGAGTAGAACCACGGGAATGATTAAAGGGCTGAAAAACAGGCCAGATAGCGAGGGGCTCTAGGAACTCGATCTGATTAGCTTATCAAAGAGACGGTTAAGGGGTGATTTGATCATGTCTGTAAGTAACTACCTGTGCAACAGACACTGGATCATAGAGGGATCTTCTGGTGAGCAGCTTGTACAATCCAAGGGCTGGAAGCTGAAGCTAGATACGTTCAGACTAGGAATAAGGTGGACAGTGTTGACCATGAAAGTACTTAGCCTTTGGCACAATTTACCAAGGGTCAGGTTGGATGCTCCATCACTGGGCAATTTTAAATTGAGACTGGATGTTTTTTTCTAAAAGATCTGCCCTAGGCTCAATAGGAATAAATTCAGGGGAGTGATAGGTCTTGGGTTATTCAGGAGGTCCAACTAAATCAGTGGTTCTCAAACTTTTGGGCCCGTGGCCCACCTAGCTTGATGCAAACATTTCTGTGAACCACCAGTTGCTGATGGAAACTTGCCGTTAATTACATAATTACGCCCGATCCATTTTGCTAGTGCTGCAGTTAGGGCGAACTGTTTAATTTAACCAGTAAGAAAGGAAATATTCATTTAAATTATTACACAGATGAAGCGCTTTAACTTTCTCACGTTAGTTTATCAAATTTCATTTTAAATAAAGTAAAACATTAATGTACGTCCTACACAAAAGGTTCCCATGTTTTCTTTATTCGTGGTGAACATTTTTTGGGTCAGGAGCCGCTGACCCACAGAAAAATCAATAGTGGACCACCAAATGAGATGCAAAAAAAAAAAAAAAACAACCCTCCAAAAATTTCCAGCTGTCATTGATATGGCCCCTCAGCTGAGACACTTCACCCTCTGGTGTTCCAGCCCCACCAGGGAAGGGGGAGGGACAGGGAGGACTGAGATTCAGGGCTTCCCATAGGCCAGATTTACTCTTCTGGGGTCCCATTTTGTGGACCCGCCTAGGCTCTGGGGTTGGGACGAAAATGAGGTGTTCAGTGGGCAGGAGAGGGCTGCCAATGAGAGGGATGGGGGTGCAGGATATGGGCAGGAGGTGAGGTGCAGGAGGGGGTGAGGGTGCAACATCTGGATTGGAGTAGGGTCCAGGAGCAGGCTGGGAGTTGGGTGTCTGGCCAGGGGAAGGAGGCAAGAGCAAGGGGGAAGGTGCAGTGTGTGGCCAGGACAGAGGGTGCAGGAACAAGGGAGGATGCAGAAGCAGGCTGGGCGTAGGGTGTCTGGCCAGGAGGGAGGCTGCAGGAGCAAGGAAGGATGTAGGAGCAAGCTGGGGGTGCAGGGTCTTGGTGGGGGGTGAGTGAGGGGGATTGGTGTGCAGGATCTGGGCATGAGGGAGGGGTGCTTACCAGGTTTCACGCCCCCATCTTTCCCAAGCACGGCCTCCCGCTACTCCCATTGACCACAACTCCGGCCAATGGGAGCAGCAGGGAAAGCCTCCAGACAGCGTGTCACTGTGCTGCTGCTCCCCCAGTGGGGTGGAGGTGGAAGGAGGGGCAGCACATGGTCTGGCAGGGACGGTTGGGGCTTTCTTCACCTCCCCTTTGCACCCTCCCTGCAGGAAGCTGGAGTGCCAGCATAGGCGCCCCACTGTGGGGGGGCTGAGCTCGAGCTGTTCACTGCCTGTAAGGTGGCTGAGGACCACTAGCAGTTTGAGAATCATTGAGCTAAATATCACAATGGTCCCTTCTGGCCACTTCCTCTCTGAATTTTCTGGATCATCTGCATGGTATTTACCAACTACAGTAATTCTTCATTTAATACTATAGCTGTGTTTCTGAAAATGTTTGTGCTAAGCGAAAACGTGCTAAGCGGGGTCAATTTTCCCATTAAAAATAATGGAAAAGGTGGGGGTTGCGTTTCAGGTGGTGGTGGCAAAGTCAATTTTTTGTTGGTGCTGGGTCGTTAACGACAACATTAGATATCTAGCAACACAAGATAACTAGCAACACAAGTCGCTGCGATTTGTTAAAACACAAAGATAAACACATGAGTGAGCGGAGGAGCGCTGCGACCACGTTTATTCATCTGCTCCTGCGTATTAGCACTGTTTTCACCAATTTATACCGCCGTGCAAAGTAGTCCTCCACTTGATTATTTTTGCGTTATTTCGGGGACAGTCGTGTTATTCGAAAGACGTTCCCTAAATAAAAATCGTGCTATTGCGAAAACGTGTTAAGCGGGCACGTGTTAAATGAGGAATTACTGTAATAGTTATACTTTTGTTCCCAGTCTTGGGAGCCTGTACCTGAAATCTGAAAATTCTTAAGAAATGCATCTTTTTCTCCCAGCAAACAGGCAGGCCGTTGGAACATTTCCGGCTTGCTGTGGCAGAGCTAGCCTGTGTGCCCTTTCTGACTGTAGGGTAGCATGAGAGCAAAGCATTGAACCCACCGTTTGCTATTGTAGGGTCACCTGTGAGTTGTTGGCACAGATTCCTCCATAAAGCCGTTGCTTTCAGTTTTTATCCTCCGTCTCCCTTTATGGTATACTAATGACTTGGCTCTGCATCTGGCTTTCAGTTGCTGGTGTTTCTAGGAACAGCGCAGCCTGGAAGTGGTATCTTGCTGATACATGACAAATACTGAAAGGTTTCAGCTGCCACTGGCCGGGAGAGGAACATTACACGGAGCTCGATATTTATACTTCTGGCTGGAACTCTGCTCAACACCTGATCAATATGGATGAAGGAACAAGTGTCTCAGAGCAAAGGAAATAAAAAGGGGACGACTTAGCCTTGAGCAGCAGCTTCTCACATGCCCTACCCTAGGAACAGGAGCATGGAATGGATCACTCCAGGCAGGAATAAGATTTCAGGAGAGATGGTTTTGGAGAATTAAAATCAACCCGTGGAGAAGGCTGGGGAATCCCAGCAGACACCAGACCAAATCAACCCGGGACCTGTGAAAAGGAACCCTATGAACAAGCAGCAGCAAGTGTGGCTTCAAGGACGTCTGGCCAAGAAACCTATGTCTGCACTGGGAAGGTTTGGCGACAAAAGTGCTGTTGACATGCAAAAGTTGTCAAAACTGAAAACGCAACAAACCTGTTTTTCTGCCTCATAGCCACACACCATGGCCACATTGCTAGCGCTCTGTTGACAGACAACGACTATGTGAGTGACAGGGACAGCCCCAGATTAACAGTGCATTGGGCTGTCACAGGTCAGACTTTTCGTGGGGTTTGAGTCTTATTTCCTCTATGGTCTGCACAGAAATAAAGAGAGGGGGAGAGACAAAAGATCCTTGCGGAGGTGGAATTTTTTTATTGCCAAAACTGGACTTTTGTTGTGACTTTTGTTGCGTCGCATTGCGAACGCTCTCCGGGTTTTGTCACCAAAAAGGGTTTATGGGCGACAAAACTTGCCAGTGTACACAAGGTCAAGTCAAATACCTCGAATGTCTGGAAAAGGCAACCAGAGAACATCTGAGAGTCAGTAACGCGGCACAGGGAAAAGGGAAAGGCAAGAAAAAATAGAGGCTCTAGGTATATGGGAGGGGAGGAAATACTCAATGGAAATTAGGCCAGTGAATGAAACGAGGGTGAGAGTTTAATGATGACTCTAAAATGACTGAGAGATTGACTCACTTTTAAAAAAGCCCGACGCTCACCATGACTGGAACAAGCCGATCAGAGATGTAGGCGGAAGGATAGATCTATTGATTTGGAGCAACTGTCTGATTGCACGGGGACAAATCTTTCCTTCCTCAGCCTTGTCACTGAGGCTCTGTCTACCTTGCACTGTTAACCTCAGAGGTCAGTGCCTGCGATGAGCTAGCCTGGATGCAAGCGTCCCCGCCTGCATGTTTACTGGTTCTGTTCTCGCCAGGGGATGGCTGGGGCTGGAGTCCCTTGTTCTTTGTGCTGAAATGCCTGAGGGTTCTTTTGCCAGGCAGCTATGTCAGTTGCAGGAGAGCTTGCCTGTCGCTGAAGGGGCTTGTCGGGACGCACTGGAGGACTGTCAGCACTCGAGAGACATAGCAGCCTAGTGGGTGTAACCTACACTCCAGCCCGGGGAGTAGTGTAGGCTTACAGACCCAGGCCAGGGGTACTTCTGTGTAGACAGTAGGTGGATTAAGGCTAAAACTCCACTAAAAGTCTAGGTTAACTGTACAGTGTAGACATATGCTGTGCTGCATGCCACTCTGCTCCAGATCCCCGCTGTCAGAGGGAAAGGAGATTCTCCCTTAACTGTTGTTAGTCTAGGGACCTTGACACACAGTAAAGCCGTTCTGTTTATGTCCACTGGAGGACCCTGCTCGACTAGCATGTCCACTTCACTAGCGCAGGGCCACCGGCAGGGGGGGGGGGGGGGGGCAAAGGGAGCAGCTGCCCCAGGGCCTGGCAATTTAAAAGGGCCCGGGGCTCCTGGCCACTGCCATTGCTACCTTGGCAGAAGCAGGGTCCCCAGGCCTTTTAAATCACTGCTGAAGCCCCCGACAGCGTGCACCCTGTGACCCATTCATCCTGAAAGGCTAGCTGGGGGAGGCTAGCCGTCAGCCCCGCCCCTTCCACTGACGCCACACCCCTTCCACCCAAGACCACGCCCCTTCGGGGCCCCAGAGCCAGCTTTCCCCAGGATCCGGTGAAGACTCTCCGCAACCCTGCACTAGAGTGGTTCATTCCTGGTTCAGAAGAGATGTGAGTCTGGTCAAGAAGGGTATGTCTACACTTCATTCCTCTTCCGAGAGAGGAATGCAAATGCAGACACCCGAAACTGCAAATGAATTTGAATTTGATTTGAATTTCCCACACTTCATTTGCATAATCGCATTATGGTGCAATTGCCCTTGAGGTTATTTTGAAAGAAGTGTTTTATCTCGAAATAACCCCTTTTTGTTTCTCAAAATAGCGCTATTCCGCAATAGTGCCATAATGCGATTATGCAAATGAAGTGTGGGAAATTCAAATCAAATTCAAATTCATTTGCAGTTTCGGGTGTCTGCATTTGCATTCCTCTCTCAGAAGAGGAATGAAGTGTAGCCATCCCCGAACTGCGTGGTGCTTTTAGCAGGCTCCTGTCAGTTGTGGTTCGGTATTGGCCAGAAGCCCGTTGACATGAGAAAGGATTTTTTAACAAAACAATAAATAAATGGAATACTCCAATAGAAGAAATTAATCTGCAGACTTAACAATTCCAAATCTGCCTGCCTATCAAACACAAGGGTCGCTGCATGTTCTGTTTGCCTGTTTGCAAGAATACGTTATTCAGTGTTGTTCACACGACGGGCAGCATTGTACAGCAAAGTAAAGGTAGGGCGCTTGACACACAGAGGTCAAGAAGTGTCTGGTGCTTGCGGCTGCCAATTGGAGATGTCTCAAGCTGATTTTCAGAGGGTGGGTATGCTGCACATTCTGAAAACTAGGCCTATTTTTAATGTACCTTGAGTTGAATCCTAGGAATCATTAGTCACTCTAGAAAAGGGCAGATTCTCCTAAGCAAAACTCCCCCAAATCTGACAGTTGAATGAGTCTCTGACTTTGTAACAGAGCAGACCTCTGCTTCCTAGAGATTGCCTTGTGGACCCTTCGAGTCCTGGTAACCATTGTCTGCCTGTCCCATTCGCAACCATCGACTCCTTTCTCACTCACAATCTCCGTGTGTCCCCGTGGCACTCCGCAGTCACTCCCGTGGCAGTGTGACAATAGGACGCGGGTGTGTTTTGTGCTTTATTAATGCAGTTTTGCAGCCAGGAAGGAGGAGGAGGAAAAGCCAGCCTCCGGTGACCAGCCGGATCGCCACAGAACCCTCCACAGACCTCAGCTGGGGGACTGCAGAACTCACTAATAATAGGTTCCAAGGGGCTGCTTCATTTTTCTGCACGTTGGGTGGCGATACCGCTGCCCAGGAAAGGCTCTCGAGAGGAAGCTAAGCCCCAGGGTGGTGGGAAGGGAAGGCTTTGTGATGATAGACCGAGATGTCGATTTCACAACAGGCTTGGGCAGGCAGTGGCTCCCAGGGATTTTCTCTGGGCCTGCTGTGTATTGCTCTGTGTTGAGACACTATCAGTGTGTTCCAGGTGTGGCACCCCGCCCCCAGCTCCCTGCTTTGAAAGCTTGAAGTGTGAGTCCTGAGGGAAGGCATGGGAGGGGAACCTTGTGACTTTCTGGCCTCTGGTCAGTGGGTTTCTTTCAGGGAGTGTGGACGTGATGGGTGAGGAATAGGCTTCTCACACGCTGGTCCCGGAACAGTGACTGCTGCTGTTCCCGATGAATCATTGTGGTTTCCTTCTGAGATGCTTCATTGAGAAGATGATAGGTTGTTTGGGAGCTAATTAGCAGGGAGCCTGGCTAAACTCCCCCTGACTGGGGCTGGGGGTGGAGGGGGAAGGCTGTGTTGTGCTGATTTCTCCACAGCCTGCAGAACAGGAATGTAAACCCCAAACAATAGTTAAAACCTAGAGGGGAACAAAAAGGCCAAGAGTCACTTTGGTTGCGGAACACTGTGTTGCATCCTGGGCATTTCACAATCTCTCTCTACCTGCCGTGCTGCAGAAGAAGGGTCGGGTGGTCTGGGAGCCAGGATTTCTAGAGGTCTAATCCCATCTGGGATGCTGTGTGGGGCTTCGGGCCCCTCTTAACCTCCCTGCCTCCGTTGCAAGAAATGCCCAAGGCTGCCTCACAGAGGTGCTGTGACTGCCGACGCGTGGGGCGGAGGACGGATCGTCGATATGATAAGGGGAAGCCATGTAGCCGCAGGATCAAAGCTCGAGTCCAAGCCTTGCTGATTTCCATTTTGAGTTTGGAGGTGCGTTACTTCGCTGCCCTGTGCCTCAACTTCCCCATTTGTAAAAAGGAGATGACACCTCTCTGCTCTCCCGAAGGAGCTTTGAGGTTTAGCTCGTTAATATTTGAGCTAAAGGAAGCGCTTTGAACGCCTCAGTTCCATGTAGTTAGGGTAGATTTAAGACCTCTTCTCAGCATCCCGACTTTTTTTTAAAAACGGGCACGTTGTCTCAATTTTCCCCTGCAGCGAAGGGAGGGAGGAGCTGCCAGCGCTCAGGGCTTTAGCTGCGAAAGCCCAAAGTGCCAGCGACTCCCTTCCCCTGTGCACCCTGCATGCTGCAGGGCTGAAGTTCATCCCTACAGTGGGGCAGGGTGGACGGGGAGCTGCCGGCACTCAGAACCCTGAGCACTGGTGGCTTCTCCCTCCCCCTACTGTGGGGCGGAGCCCCAAGCACTAGTAGCCAAGTGCACCCGAGCACCAGCAGCTCCCCCTCCCCCCACTATGGGGCTGGAGCCCAGAGTGCTGGCAGCTCCTTCCCCCACCCATGGGGCTGGATCCCAAGTGCCAGCGACTCCTTCTCCTCCCCGCTATGGGGCTGGAGCCCTGAGCACCGGCAGCTCCCCTCCCCCCTCCTCCGAGGGGCTGAAGCCCCAAGTGCCAGCAGCCCCCACTTTGGGCTCGTCTCTGTGCTGTGCCAGTTCTAGAGCTGAGGATTCAAGCCCCAGGGATCATATTTGGGAACCTAACAACCAATTTTGGATGAATGTGTGACCCCTCCCCCCCACTCCTATAGCAGATCCAGATGCCAGTGATAGGATGCTAAGGAAGCATGTGGGGTGAGCCATCCAGGGACACCATGAGGCAGGGCCTCAGGCCCAGGAGAGAATGTAGGACGTGCACAGTGGGGCTCCTTGTAAGCTGCATGCTTGGGCAGCCACCCAGGAGAGATTCAGATACCACCCAGCTGATTAGCAGAGCACCCACAGCCAGCAGCATGTTCCTATTGGTGGTGCACATACCTTGGTGCACCTAACAAAAATTATTCTGCACACAGATTGGGGGAAAAATTAGATGGAACACTGCCACCCAAGTGTGTCTGGACCAGGCAGATGCATGGCTCATTCAGGCTCTCTCCTCATCCTGTTGTTCTTTGCTTCTTGCAAGTCCCCTTCCCGGAGTAAATGATCAGCCAGCAGGCAGATGTCTATTGGGAGGAGGTGTAATGCCAACAGACCCCGGTTGTCTGTGGACAGACTCGAACCTGAGACCTGTGCAGCTTATGTACGTGATGTTCTGAGTTCTATTCCTGGCTCCTTTACTGGCTTTTGGGCACATCTCTAAAAACCCCTGGGAGCCTCAGTTTCCCATCTATAAAATGGGGATAACACCACTTGTCTCACAGAGCTGCGAGTGGAGGAGTCCTAGTATAATATTCATGCCGTGCACTGAAAAGCTGGGCCGGGCCCATTCAAGTGGAGCACTGGGAAGTGTGTACTGTGCAGTCCAAACACGCCCAGGTTTGGCGGTTGGGTTTCCTGCTCTGGCTGCTCCATGAAGAACCTGAGCTTGGCTTACGAAGGGCCCTGGATGAAGCGCATGGTGAAGGGAGAGCCTGCTCCAGCTGCAGGCAGCCTAGGTCCCTGGTAACGGGGCACAGGTGGGTAATGCGCTGTGGGGAATAATGAAAGCCTGGCCAGCGGGACACTCAACAGGGGCGATTTAACTCCCAGGCCACAGAACTGCGCCACCCCCCCATTTCAGGAGTGGCACCGCCGGGAGGGAGGGTCACATATCAAGTCGTGACACTCAGACCTTCGTGTGGTTCTTCACCAGGACCCCCAGAGCCTCGCTGGGCTTAGGGACCAGGGAGAGCCCAGGGCTAGAAACGAACGCTTTGTGTTCCTGGAAGTGTGCTGTTCTTGGCTTTCCAGGGTGCCAGTTGTTCACTGGCAGGGCAGAGTGTCTCGGTCTATCGCAGGGTCATCCTACTCCCCAGAAGAGTTTAGGGTTGTCAACTTTCCGATTGCACAAAATCGAATACCCTAGTAGGCCCACCCCTTCCCCAAGGCCACACCCTCTGCCCCACCTCTTCTCTGAAGCC